CAGGCTTCCTGCCGCCTCCAAGCCAGCCCCAGCCCCCGGCGAAGACGGTGAGTGGGCCCCGGGCTGAGCGTAGGCTGCTGGCCGTGGGCAGGCACATGGGCTTCTTCCGGCAGGAAGAAGGAAGAGAAACAGATCTTCTCTCTTAGTTCTTTTCCTCTGGCAGTTACACTTGTTGCCTTGTACGACTTTTTAACTTATTGACCAAAATTTCATTTAAGTCAACGGTGTATCTATATGTTTTAGGAATCTCATAAAAGTGATTTTTAGAGTCACAACAGTTTGCTTCTGAAGAATGAATTTTAGTTTTCTGAACCATTTCACCACCACATTACATGTGACCCAGTCATGGGGGGTAGACGCGGGGTTCAGGGCTGGGCTCTCTTGGGCCCCTGCCCGGCAGTGAGCAGGAAGCTACAGTCCCGAGTTGAATGTGATCTGCTCTGGGAAGGATTTTCACTTCTTGAGCCAGTAGTTTCTACGCTAAAGTAGGCTGTGCCGTGCGAATTGTGGGCCATCATCTCCGGGGGGTGGGGGGCTGAGGCACAGAGAGTGTCAGTCACGTGCCCAAGGTCAAGGCACTAGTAATCAACTCGTCAGGGCTGGGCTGGCAGCTCCGTCTCTCCTGGCTGGCAGGGCCTGGGCCAGGGTGGGTCCCAGGCTCAGAGGGAGGCCCGGGGATGTCCTGTTTGTGTGTTGGGGGCGTTGGAGGAGGAAGTGTAACAACCGCCATGACCACGGCGCTTCTGACGCCCGCTGAGGGCTCTCCGTGTGCCAGGCACTGCTCTAAGTGGCCGATTTTTTATTTGCTTATATGTCTATTTCCCAAAACAACCTAAGAGGTAGGCATAAGTGTCCTCTCCCTGCAGCAGGGAACTTAGGGGGGACCCAGTGTGAGTGTTAGATTTGGGGTGCATGCTGACCTCAGGCTCCAGAGCCTCTGATTTTAACTGGGCCCTGATGTTCTTTCTTTTCAGCAAAAGTGTTTCAGAGGTTCCTTTGCCTTTTCTGCTAGAACCGTTTCCTTCTACTCTCACGGTATTTTTCCACGTTTGCCGTGAAGGGAGCTGTCCCACAGTCCCTGTTCTCTGAAACCCTCCCGTCCCGTGAGAGGCAGGGGCGGGCGCGCTGTTAGGAAGGCGTTTCTCCGGGTGCTCCCAGCTGCTGAGCTCTGCCCCCATTCTGATCCCACGCCTCCAGAGCAGGCGCGTTGTCCCCCGTCGGCACTGAGCACGTGAGGTCAGGCCCGTCTGGAGCCCAACTGCCAGGCCACGGCCCTTTGTCACGTGCCTGACGCCCATTCGGGACGTCCGCCTCCCTGGTGACCTTCTGCTTCAGTAAGGGTCTAAACAAGCTGTCTGTGGATTGGTCACTGGGGCTGTTTACAAAGTTACTCATCCTAAAATAAGGCCGTGAAAATATCATCTGGCTCTCGCAGCGGCTGGCAAGCCCACGGGCCTCCACCCCCACGGACTGTCCAACTCGAAGGAGAATCAGGAAACCCAGGAATTCCGCCTGCAGCTTTTCTGGGGTTGGCGCCCGCTGCCCATGAGAACATTGTGTTGGTGTCTGTGTTTCTGTCACAGGTTCCTCGGGCCCTGGAGACCCGCAGGCCTGGAGCGAGCTGCAGGTTGTGTTCTCAGAGGGGCGGGCGCTCTTCCTCTGCGGGCTCCGACCTGATCTTGTGCGAAGCGAGTGGCGTTGGCACTGTGGGTCGTGGTGGGCAGGCGGCCGCGGCTTCCTGCCCAGCCTGGGACTGCGGTGGGCAAGGAGGTTGGGCTCCTTCTGGGCCACGCTCCTGAGGGACGGGACCTCGATGTCCTGCCTCTGCACACCAAGTGCGAGGAAGCAGCCTGCAGGCCCGTGCGATGCCAGGGGCCTGTCTCACGCGGAGGGAGATGCGCTGGGGCCCAGGAAAGGCCACCATGACGGGCTTCAGGTTTGGGCCTCCTCCCGGGGCAGGGCAGGGCAGGGCTCTGCGTCATGTGCTCTCAGCTGCCTTTGGCTGCAGGACACTGGAGGCCCTATTGGCTGCAGGGGGAGGAAGTGCACTTCTTGTGCCTGAGGTCCGGACAGGAGGCAGAGCCCTGGGCAGCCGGGCTCCGTGGTCTGGAATGGGGTCCCCTCCGCACGGAGGCCTGTCCTGCACACGGGTAGTGGGCCAGTGCCCCGCAGATGTGCCGTGGTGGAGAGGGAGACGGGCCGTGTGAGTGGGGGCGAGCCAGCAGGGGGTAGAGCTGGGTCTTGGTGCTCGACGGCAGGGACAGCCACATTCAGAGGAAGCGGGAGGCACACGCGAGTGGGCCAGCAGCCTGGGGGACAGGCGGGGAGGAGCACCATGGAGGGCTGGAGAGGAACGCACAGGAAGCCCAGCTTTCTGCAGTCTGGCGAGCGGTGCACACTCACGAGTGCTCCGCACCACGTGGTCGGGCCGGCCTTCCAGCCGGTGAAGGTCTTCTCGCAGCCACACGGGGACTTGTTGCAGCAGGTTTTCCCGTTTGTTTTGTAAACACAATTAGTCACATATTTTAACCCCATTATTAATAGGGCATAAATATTGTCTTCGCTCCAAATCAGCTCTTCTCTCTTTGCTTAATTTTAAAAATTAATTTTCTGGAAGTGAATTAATTGCCTTGCGTAGGGCTTTGACAGGCATTTACTAACGAGCAAAACTGGGGCTCCTGAGGCTTGGAGATTTAATGAATGGGCCTCGACATCAGACCATCTTTGGCGAGAAAAACTACCCCCGGTTGCCAAGTACAGGTTATTTCCCAGCGAGTGCCGGTGTGGAGACGATGTGCCTGCCTCACCCCC